CGCACAAAAGTGCAATTAAGGTTTTTTTGCCCCGAGTCTTGAGAATAATTCATACCTGGTCGGACTTTGTGTTACAACCGGATATCTCTGTAATTACATGTGCTACATAGGTGAAAGTGTATGTAATCGATAGCAAATGTTACAAACAATCTCCCGTGACATGGCAAGCTGTCCCAATTTGCCCTCACTCACGGGAAATTTACAAAATGTGTGGCCGGGGCCGGTATGATCCGTTCATCGGTTGGTTCCCTCAGTGCTCTCCAGGGTCCTGTCATATTCTTTCTTCTTTTTTAGAATTGTTTTTAAATAGATGACAAAGAAGAGTTAAGTCCAGATGTCAATCTAGAATCCAAAAATTGTTTTTCTCTGAAACTTTAATTGAAAGGAAAGAATTAATCAAATCACTTTTAAGTTTAAAGACAAATGAAGCCAAGAATGAAAATGAAGTAAATACAAGTTTGATAAATTAATGTAATGATGGACTTGATGTTTGTTCAGAATTAGATTGTGTTCAGATTTGTTCAGAGAATTTGAACAAATTCATATTGGATGGTGTACCAAAGATTTTACAAGAATTGGTTGAGTTCATTCATCCTTTATGAACTGTATTTTGTATTGTTTATAAGGAAGTATTAATTATGTTCTTGCTTTTTTTTGCTTAGAATAAATCAATCAGTACAAATTCATATGAATTAAAAATTGGGGCACAATAGAGTCTCCAATCCTAACCAAAAAGTTCACATTCAAAACTTTGAAAGCTTTACCTTCAAACTTGAGAAATCCATCATCAAAACCAACAAACCATTGGTGGAATAATTTGAATTTTAAGTAAAATTGAATTGTCAATTTTGATGTCTACTAAGGATGTAAGTTTGTTGTATGAAAACCCAAAGTTCAATTCTGTAATGTTCTAAGACTCTTTAGAAAACATTTAAAAAGAAATATACTTGACAAAGATGGAATTGGAGAAAGTTTAGGTAAATAACAGGTTAGGTAAGGTTTCTACTTTGAACATTG